TAGTTCCGGTTTTCGCCACCTATCGTTGTTATTTATAGTTGTAACAACAGAGGTCGTCTCAAAATTCATTTTTAACGATCAGATCTTAAGTTAATAGGGACAATAATATTTTCCCCCACTTTTTTAAAGACTTGAGCTCGAAAATGGAATATCAATTATATCATATATAAAGAAGAAAAGATCATGTTTCAACAACTTTATTAACGATAAAATAAACTATCAAATATTTAAAAAAAATAAAAAAAACCCATAAAAATCAGAAAATTGCACTGGAAAAAACTAGAAAAAATCATCAAAATAAATGATATAATTAATCAAGGAATTGTTGTTCATTTCATACAAAAAACGAGGAATAGGACATAAATGCCCAACATATAATTCACCAGTTCACTTAATTGTATTTGAATGCACATGAAACTTTGCTTTATATAGTGTGTGAAGTTTGAAGAAAAGGTTAAACTTGAGTACATGTACTTTCAAAATAAATCATTTTTATACACAGTAGATGAGAAAGTTGAAGGCCGTAGGGGAAGTCAGTTTTTAAAAAAATACACACAGTTGATAAATTCTTACCAAATTTAAAATTATGTATAAGTTACAAAAATATCTTAAATAGTTTTTTTGGTTTGAAAGTTAGCAAGCTGCAAATTTAAAAAAAGTGAGGTCAAGGTAAAAACAAATCTTTAAGCAGTTGAATACCTCTCACTATATGTGTCAGCAAATGAAGTTTGATAAAAATATCTTGAAAAATTTCTTTGAAACTGGGCTTAACACAAAGTGTCACAGATTGACAGAAGGACAGATGACGGACATGACAAACACTATACATTTTGCGTGTAATATACATTATTAACCTCTGCAAAAAATTCTCCATTTTAATCCAGGATTGTCTAAAAAGAATTTGATAAAACTTTCGGCACACTGATGACCTAGCTATCAGAAGGCCTGCTACATACATTGTAATTAGCAGTAACCCTCTTTTGGTTTCATTGGTGGTTTCATAAAGTTCTTGCTTTCTTTTGATTTCGGACATTTTCTTCTTTTTTTTTCCCTTGACTACTTTAAGTTCTTTGGACTCAGTGATATATTAGATATAGCAAACATTGAAAAAAAATTAATACACTCTACATTGTATAATATTTAATGAGATCTGTTCATTCTTTACAGTTTCTCGATTCAATTTTATTAATTTGTTTATATGTATTTTTTTCTAAGGATCTTTGAATTTGTAGTATCTTCTGTAAACAGCATGTGTGTGTTAGAGAGAGAGAGAGAGAGAGAGAGAGAGAGAGAGAGAGAAGAAGCTATATGGGGGAGAGAGAAAGATACTTAAAGCCATGACTTTGAAATTAATAATACTTTCTCAGCCTTTTAAAATCAACATAATTTATGATAAAACTCTGAATGTAAAATAAATTCATGTTTCTGACTTTTTGTTTACGTATTTTCTCTTGTTTGTTTTACCAGCTCTTTTGAGACAACCCCGTTTATGGTTCATTCGGAACTGCTTAAAATGGGATGTTGTGAATATTGCTCTTTATTTTGGATTTACGCCGTATTTTAACGAAACCGAAATTTCATGAGATAGAAGATACATCAATGTTTCATTCACATATCTTAAATGAAATACACACCTTACCACAGTTTCAGAGCACGTCTTTACTTTCAAGAAAGCACGTGTTTAATGTCGGTCAACGTCACTTAAGCGCTTGCGGTTGTAAACAAAAAGCCTGGACACGGTAAGATAGACGGAGTTCTTGATCTCGCTATGTCATCCAGAGTATGGACAATACATAAAGCTTCATTTATGTAAAGAATCATAAGAAACAGAAACATTTATGTTTGCTTAATTTTAATTATTTAATTAAAATTATTCGGAACTGCTTAAAATCCGGAACTGCTTAAAGCACTGTATTTTTTTCTAAGGATCTTTGAATTTGTAGTATCTTCTGTAAACAGCATGTGTGTGTTAGAGAGAGAGAGAGAGAGAGAGAGAGAGAGAGAGAAGAAGAAGCTATATGGGGGAGAGAGAAAGATACTTAAAGCCATGACTTTGAAATTAATAATACTTTCTCAGCCTTTTAAAATCAACATAATTTATGATAAAACTCTGAATGTAAAATAAATTCATGTTTCTGACTTTTTGTTTACGTATTTTCTCTTGTTTGTTTTACCAGCTCTTTTGAGACAACCCCGTTTATGGTTCATTCGGAACTGCTTAAAATGGGATGTTGTGAATATTGCTCTTTATTTTGGATTTACGCCGTATTTTAACGAAACCGAAATTTCATGAGATAGAAGATACATCAATGTTTCATTCACATATCTTAAATGAAATACACACCTTACCACAGTTTCAGAGCACGTCTTTACTTTCAAGAAAGCACGTGTTTAATGTCGGTCAACGTCACTTAAGCGCTTGCGGTTGTAAACAAAAAGCCTGGACACGGTAAGATAGACGGAGTTCTTGATCTCGCTATGTCATCCAGAGTATGGACAATACATAAAGCTTCATTTATGTAAAGAATCATAAGAAACAGAAACATTTATGTTTGCTTAATTTTAATTATTTAATTAAAATTATTCGGAACTGCTTAAAATCCGGAACTGCTTAAAGCACTGTATTCCAAACTTGTAAACAAGAGTTAACCCGAATTTCACAGGTACACTTCGTGAAACGTAACAGTATAATACAAATTATAAACCCATTATGCTAAAATTTGCTCTTTTTCTGCCAGATATGATATATTTGATAAACCATATGGCATCTGATCCCACCTCTGATGTTTCGGAGGTCAGTGTTTGCTCTGCTCTTGTTTTGTATTGTTTTATGGACTTTGAGAATGAATACTTATCGTCATCCCCATATCCTTACTTTAAAATGTAAAATTCAAGTGCAACAACATGGCGCTTTAAAAATTATGAATCTTGTACATTGTTCTGTTGTCTTTTTTTCAAAAATGCAGGTACTATATATGTAATATAATATACTAATAAAAAGCTCTCAATCAGCTTTTTGCAATGTAACTAAAGACATTTACATTAAATGTACATTTAAAGAGTTGCGTCTTTATAACATCATTCATGCGGAAATTGGTACCTGATCATTGTAGCATAAGAAACTTGTGATGTAATGTATCCAATATGCAAAACTCTCATGGATCGAGATACAGTACCAAATCATAATAACATGTTTTTGATCATGACCTGCACTAATTATTAACATCAAGTTGTTTTTTATGGCTCAACAGAACAATTCTGAACATATAACTGAGAGCCATTCGGTGAACAATATAGTTTTGCATCCTTCAACTCGAGGGGGAGATGAGCTAAAGAAAAAAGGTATTTGTAAAAGTATACTGACACGCAAAAGAAATTCAACATCCTACTTTAGGGGGAATGAATTATGTAAAGTAAAGAATTTTGTATCTTAAAATTATGAATATCTTTAATTTGGTAAACATCGCTAATTTAACGGTTGAACGATTTCCATACCATAACCGGAAGTCAAGTTTTAGTCTGCTTAAAACAAATCAAAAATTGCATGTTTAACAAAACATTTGAAAATTTTATGGGGTTTAAAGGGTTTTTTACTGTTTATCATACGTAATGCAGCAATATTTCAAAAAATAAACTCTCCTTTCGTTTCCCGTAACGATTCTAAGGCTACCTGAAAATGGCTTATGTACAGATTTCCATTGCTCTAGCTGGAAAATTTCAATGTAAAAGTGATGGAGAGTTGCTGATGCGAAATTTCACTACATTACGCCTCAACAGAGTCTTACGTATCATATGCATTAAGGACAGTCTTTGTACCGGAAGTCCAAGGGTGGTCACACTGCTCTTAGTTAAAGAAAATTCGACCTAATCAACTGAAAAACGGGCATTTAAAAATGCCAAAGAATTATTCCTTCGCTCAGATCTTGATATTAATGAACCTATTGTATCGTAGAAATCAAGCTGCAATTGTAGTTTAGGGCAGTCTTGCACGTTTTACTTGAATGGCTTGGAGGGGGGTGTTTTAACAGTCATATTTTACTTAATAAAGTAAACAGATAAACATTTAACATTTTTTTTAAATCTCTGATGTTCTGAAAAGTGAGTTTAGACTTATTTTATTCTCTGTTGAAAATCATAAGATAAAAATCAAAAATTTGTAGATTACTGCTTGTTGCGTTTCTTTTGCGTGTCAGTATATATGTATAATATTTATATTATCAAATGTGCACTTTTAATTTTCTAATTTCGTTTACATGTAACTGGTTTGATTGCAAAGCAATACACGTATTTATGACTATAGCCATGGATATAGTTTATCAGGTCAATCTTCTATCATTCGGTCTCTCCCCCTTCCATCATATCGTCAGTCCTTCCCTTATTCTCTGCGTTTAGCTTAGCTGCAAAGAAATTATCTAAATATTTGTTTTATTCAATTTTATGTGCTGTTGCATATAAATAAGAGCTATTTAACTGCATATACATTTTTACCTTTACCTTTCATTAGATCTTCTCCTTATTTACTTACTTAGGCCTAACGATCTGTGAGGAACATAGGCCATCCACGACAGTCCTCCACAGAACTCGATCCCGAGCTTCTTTAGCTGCATTTTGTAGGGACATATCCTGTGTTTTTAACTCTGACTCCGAGTCGTGCCTCCAGATGTTCCTCGGACATCCTCTCTTTCTTTTGCTCTGTGGGTTCCACAAGTCAGGGCTTGCCGTGTAATGATAGATAGTGACTTCCTTAACGTGGGTCCAATCCAGCCCCCCTTTCTCCTTACTTTTCCTTCATTAGTGTTTAACTCAACTTCAAAGAAACAGTCCAATACATTTTTAGCAATTTGAAATCCTATTTTCTGATTCATAATAATGAGAAATTTTTATCTAATTCAACACATTTTTCATGACTCCCTTTTCTTTCTCCAGAAGCGATAGTTAATCATTCCTCCTCACCGGTACCCAGGCGAAGAAATATCCCTCTTACTCTGATTGTTTCTATGATGAGGAGCGGATCCAGCTTCACAGGTGACGTGTTTCGATCGCATCCAAATTCTCTTTATCTCTTTGAACCAATGCAGTATCTATCACAGAGTGTTGGAAACAACGAAATCCCTTATGTGAATGGAACCACAAGGTAGACAGAAAAGCATCTAATACTTTTGAAGAAAAAAAATTAAGTTTAACTTGTATTTGCATGATGTTTTTGATCTAGATAATATTATCAATACAAAATCTATCCATTAAATATGGGTACATTCTTATCATGAATTCATTCTTTATTTTCTCAAAAGTTTTGAAAAGTTTTTTTGTTCACAGATTTAAATGTTATTACATATACATGTTGTCTTATTGTTCAAATTAACAAAAAAGGTCCTATGATAAAAGCCAGCTGCATGAAGTCCATGCTGAAATGATCATCAATCTTCTGCTGTGCCGCTTTGAAGATGTTCCTTTCCAGGTCTTTAAAACAAGCCACTTCCTGTACCATAACCATCTCGGCCAGCATTACAGCTGTTCGCAACGTATTAAAGATAGTGTTACTGGCATGAGACAGCAATGTATTCCAGATCTTATCAAAAAGTGCAAAGGAGCAAATTCATTTACTATTAAGTTCATAACAGTAAGAATGCAAGCCATTTCAATTATAATGAAGCTTCTTCCAGAAGTCCATGTCATTCATTTGGTGAGAGATCCTCGACCCGTCTTGCTTTCACAAATACACGTCGGCCAAATTGATAAAACGAAAATCGAAAATGAAAGTAGCTCACATTGTAAAATTCTTCAGAATGATTTAGCAGAGACAAAAGAAAATATTTATCAAAACAATTTTCACCGACAGAAGTATGAGGATCTTGCACATGATCCACTTGGACAGTTTCAGGGTTTGTTTAATTTATCTGGATTGGAATTTAGTCATGCAGTTCAGAACAGAGTTAAAAGTATAGCAATGAAGAAAGGGATGATGAGCAAATGCCTGTATTGTTCAGAAAAAGGTGGTGCAATGGCGACTTCATTACAATGGAGGGTTTCATCAAACTATTCAATTGTTCATGCAATCCAAGAGCAGTGTGTAAATGTTATTGACAAACTAGGATATGTCTTAGTAAATTCCACAAATGATCTACGGAACACAAAAATTTCACTGATGAAGTGGTAGATAATGTATTCGAACTATTACGAGAGAGAGAGAGGGGGAGAGAGAGAGAGAGAGAGAGAGAGAGAGAGAGAGAGAGAGAGAGAGACAAAGTATACATGTAGTATAGCAATATGCACTGCAATAAGTTAATTTGGTTGTATTTTTGTTCAATGGCCTTTCATTTACTTTTGTTCAATATAAGGTTTTCATTTTGTATTAGTTCCAGTATTGTAGTTCTACGGAAGCCCATTTTGGACCTATCAAAAATATTTTTGAATTCGATATAACGAATTTTCGAATTTGTAAAAACGAATTTAATTGGTTATAACAATTTCTTTTAATTCGTTCTAACGATTTTAATCTGTTATAACAAATTTGTTGAAATCGTTATAACAAATTCTAATAGATTAAAATCGATAAAACGATTTCTTAAATTTTGTTTTCACAAATGAAATTCGTTTAAATGAATTCTAAAATTTGTTATAAAAAATGAAATTCGTTCATACAAACTCAACAATCAGGGCTTATAAATGAATTCAATAAAACGATTTGTCGAATTCGTTGTAAGCAATGTAATTCGTTATAACAAATCGAAGAATGCGTTTCAATGAATTCAATTCGTTATAGCAAGTTTTAGAATTTTTCAAAACGAGTTTAATACGTTTAACAAAGTTTTGAATTCTACATAATGGATTTAACAAAGTTGTTATAACAGACATCACACATATTATAACAGAACTTCCTTATAGTTTTTTGTATTTAGTTCAAATCTTTTATAGGAAAGAACTTTTTTTTTATTATATGGGAATATTGACATTCATGATTTGACAATTTATTGATGAGTATGGAAAAAGATAAGATAAGAAAATCTTTTAAACGGAATTACATAGAGGAACGCTGATTCGACAAAAACATGCTTTGAACGGTATACAGAGACATATAACAACCTGTTATCCATGCGCAAAAATGCTCTCTTAAGGCCAATTTTTGTAAATTTGTTATCACGTTGTTATTTCACTGTATAAACATTTCACTGTAGTTACATATCCAATATTGTTTATTAATTGTTAAAGTTAAAGCTTTGAAAACTAAGTATCACCATTTTTAAAATGCAAACAATACCGTTTGTGATATTCAAATTGCACCATAGAAAGTAATGGATTAATCATGAGCAATTTGCTGTAACGACCTAAACTGTTTTGGCATGCATGGTTACGAGTTTGAGGAAACTTTTATCAATATTTTAACTGGCCATCAAAAGCATGAATTAATCATACATTTAGACTGATTGCTATGTCACATAGTATAAGACTTACCTTTCATGATACCAGACCTTCAGATATACTTTGAATTTTATATTGGGTTTTGCAAAGCCTCCGAAAGGCAAAGAATCCTTACTTTTGAAAATTACTTTAATGTTTTAGAGTAATGTGCTCTGTATAAATAATTAAAAACATAGAGAGAATTAATTAAAATCCTTTTAGGGTCAATTGCCAATGAAAGTGATCGATTGATCGATAATATAACATTTCTTGTTATACTGAAATGCGTAACAATTATCTTTCTCTATTATCTGTTTATATTATAACTAATACTCGTTTTTGTTGTAACTTTTATGGAATTGTATGTATGTGTAATCAAAATGAAATAATAAAATCATTACGTTTCAATACTTTTTTCAAATGGTAAGTTTGGTAACGTATGGAATACTTCTTTTCCCAAATATTTTTATCATGTAAGACATCAAATCAAATCGGCGGCAAACCGTGATTTTTATTAAAACAAGACATGTTTTAATGGAACTATGAACAAATGTATAATGTATAAATACTAACATACAAATTTTACGGCATGTTACCTTTATTTAGCAATGAGATAAATTGCATCAAATATTTATCTTATATCTTTAATGCATCAAATACTTTAACAAACTTAAGCAAGACTGAAGACATTCTTGGCCTTAACATGCAATTCTACTAATTTAAAAAGTGGTATTAAATGTACCCAATAAAACTCTGATGTTTATATATGTGAAAGCAGCAAACAAATTTAATTTTTATATATTCACTGAAATATTTTTGAGATTCATTATTTGAAATTGGAATAGTGAGTGCTTTATGAACCTTGCATTTTATTTTATTACTGCATATTTAAAATCCACTTCCTCTGAGTTACATGTACATGTATCTTTAAAATCAATGTTATTTTTTAGGACTTCCTATTTGTAATTCATGAAACTTTATATTCTATTGCACGTTACGCTTAGAGCAGAATACTAGGTAACTTGCCTGAAATTAAATTAGAAGAAAATACATGTTTACTTTGGTTGTAGTGCAAATCGGATGTAATTGATTATAGTGCTCTTAGAAGAAAGGGACAATGTTTAATATTTTGACTTGGTTGATTTCATGAAACAAATCTTTGAAGTGGGTGTTTTTGAGAAATTAAAGAATTTAAAAAAATATTAAAATAGCAAAAGAATACAAAAGGATATTATTCAAAGTAAAGTATTATATTTTTATATTAAAGCTGTTCCTATGGTAAAACAAATGAAGGATAGGGAGAAAACGAACAGTATTCAATATCAAAGTCCATAAAACAATACGCAGAGCAAACACGGACCTCCAAAACATCAGAGGTGGGATCAGGTGCCATGGAGTAGCGAGCATCCCCTACCGACCGGTCACACCCACCGTGTAATAATGCTTCAATATAAATTTAGCTTTTACTTTTCAACGTAGGAATGGTTTTGAGAAATTAAAAAAACATGCTTTTTGAATAGTTCAAATTCCTTGCAGTAAGACCAGACAAATCGATTTTCCATGTTCCTAGATGCATGCCAACATGAACTTGTGCATTACCTTGAAAAATATGCAGAGCACGGCAGTTGATATTTTTCAGACAAGTCAGACCAAATGAATCAACCACAAAGACTCATCATTACCATTACTGAGAATCAAACCAAAATGATTTTAACAAACCATGCTAATTAATATGAAGCACATAAGATATATCTCTGCTATTGTAATGCATATGCCTTATGTTGGTTTAACAGTCCATTCAAAATTCCTAAGAGTTTTACACAAGATCTCCAAACACTGAAAAGGGCGACGGCTGCTGACCTATCTTCTGAAGGAAATGATTCAGTACAAGGATTTTTTGTTCAAAACGTAGGAATTATAACAATTTAATGAAGTCATGCTTCAGGGGTAGTCCCCCTTTATATCATTTTCTTTCATGATTTATCATATTCATATGCTCATCTCATATCTAAGCAAAACTTTTTTCCAAGCACAACAAATTTTAGGGTATAATGAAGCCAAAACCATAACGTTTTCTTTGGTTATTGATTTATGACGTCACCCTCATAATTATCTGGACTTTGCATTTAGGCTTGTATTTTTATAAGGGTGGTAATCCGAAATCATATGTTTTTCAATTTGTATATCAATGAAAAATAGCGTGTGTAATGCAGTTGTAAATTAAGACTTTGAATATATGTATAACCATTCATTACTGAACAGATAGAATAAGAACATAATAAAGATTTAAAACGGATCATTCATTCTTTTTCCCATGTAAAATATTGTTCACATTTCACTTCCGAAACCTGACTAAACGAGGAATAGATTTAAGCAACGACATTGTTCAAAAGAATTTCAACCCGACTAAAAATTTACAATAGGGAAGGGGTCAAACATGTATTTCAACATTAAAAAGTGAGGCCAACAGTATTAAATTAAGACCAACTCCGTTGAATTTTGATCATTTATTCGAAAATGATGACATTGAATGTGACTGTTTATATTCTTGTTTCATCAACTTGTTTGTAAATAGCTTGGCTCGTTTAAAAAATGTTCTTATCAGAAAATACTCCTGTGTATTGAATCAATAGAAAGACAACCGCCATATGCAGATGTTATGTCTCCAATACGGTATGAATCTCTGGTAAAATAAACTTTGAGTAATGTCTGAATATTTTACTTAGAACTTATCTCCCTTACCAGAGGATTACCCCCAAAAATAACGCCACACCTGCCTTTTTATCGCATTTAAAAAAATCACTCTTTTATCATTTGTTCATCATAATCTTATTACTGCTAAAACATCTGAAGTTAAATCGAAATAAAAAACAATGAACACAAACGCTTTTCAAATACATGCATCGATATAGGTATGACATCTGGTAATATTTTTCAAAGATGTGAAATTACTGACAAATAATATTCATACAATTTATAATTGTTTCTTCAACAAAAATGGAAGTGACATATTTGGATCTTATGATCGGTCATCAACAAAATTATTTTGTTAAAAATTGCAGTGATTCCACACTCCACAAAAATGCTCGTAAGATGATATGAAAAGGATGTTATAGTTTATCTTCTATGTTTTCTGCCTGCAGCTATGTAAACACATACATGAAAAGCAATTAACACATGATCTTTCATGAAAAATGTATAAATGATTGATCTTGTTACGAATGTCATGGACTTTAATTCGTCCAAACGTATTTTAAAAAATTCTATGACGAAATTAATTTTTACAAGATGGAAAATTTATTGCATCACATCAGAAAATTTATATTTTCTCAAAGGATGAAGGGTGTGGAGATAACGAACGATATTCAATCTCAAAGTCCATAAAACAATACAAAATAAGAGCAGAGCAAACACGGACCTCCGAAACATCAGAGGTGGGATCAGGTGCCATGGAGGAGTGAGTACCCCATGCTGACCCGTCACACCCGCCGTGTGCTCCTTGTCATGGTTATCGGGAAATAACGGAAAAATCCGTCGTCAATTCAGTGTTAATAATGTACTAACAATTTGTATGAAAAACATCAGTTAGCATTTGACTCCATGATAAACTGTATTTGCTGACAAGGTCATCGTATCGACCAAAGAACTTACGAAATGGTGACTTGAAACGAGACCGCTGATATTCTTGTTTCATCAACTTGTTTGTCAATGATTTGCCTATCTAATTTCGAATTTGATAATGTGAAAAAGTATAAGTAG